AAATAATATTTTTCATCACATCAATAATTTTTCCTTTTTTTTCAACCACATATTCCCCATTACATCACTTCAAAAAAATGCATTCTCTTATTTTAATGTGCACCAAACAGGCTTAATATATTTTTTCTCTAATTTGGTCCTATTTCTCCTCCATTTTACGTGAGAAACAAGAAATTTGTATCAGCTAAAAATGAAAATCATCTTGTCCCAGTTTAACGAGCATTATTTGAAAATTCTTTAATTCTCATATTTATACATTTATACAATAAAATATAATTTATACGCAAATTCAATTTATTTCCTTAATTTTCAACCATATCAATCTTGTCAAAATAATGGCTATCAATCTTTTTCATTGCTTCTCTGTCCTCACTCACTTTTTATCTCCTCCACTCACTCGCTCTCTTTTCTCTCGCTCAGGCGCACGCACACAAATCGTGTATCTATCTCCTCCACCATTCTACTCCTCCCTTCATCTCTTCCTCCTCCGCTCCTCTCCAAACTCCCATACCCCAAAAGACAGAGTCCCACAACACCAAGAATCAAGAATCCCCTTTTTCAGAACATAGATCTCTCTCCCCGGAAATCTATAATTCCTCCGTTTTTTTCCCAGATCTTGCCAAGCAGACACCCAAAATCCCTTCTTTCACATATATATTGGGATTTATAAGAAATTTAGGTCTGAAGATGGGTTCTGTGAAGTTAGATCTACATGGCAGAATCTACCCGGAACCGATCGACCACTTTGATATGCTACCAGATTCTATTATTCTCTTGATCTTTAACAAAATTGGTGATGTCAAGGCCTTGGGTCGATGCTGCGTCGTTTCAAAGAGGTTTCACTCTCTGGTTCCTCAGGTCGATAACGTCGTTGTTCGGGTCGATTGTGTTATCTCCGATGAAGATTCTTCAACTCCAGGAAACTCCGCTGCCTCCTCGGCGTCGGTGGCTGATAAGGCCCGCCACCCCATATCGTCCCTTTTCCGACTCTTCTTTTCGGGCCTCTTTAAGCCCATTCAGTCACTTACCCAGCTTATTACTCCCTCCCCACGCCGTCCCATCGTTTCGAATTCAGACGATTTTAACTGCGATATGGACCAGAACTGCGTGACCCATCATTCCCCCACTCAAGTCTTGAAGAATTTTGATGAAATTAAACTTCTGAGAATTGAGTTACCCAGCGGGGAGCTCGGGATTGATGAAGGGATTTTGCTTAAATGGAAGGCGGACTTCGGGTCCACTCTTGACAATTGTGTTATTCTTGGAGCCTCCAGTGTCATTCAGACCGCGAATACTAACGAGTGTTCCAGTGTTTGTAACAATGATAGTAATGGAGCTGAGAGCGATAATGGGAGCATACCCGAATCATTTTACACGAATGGGGGCTTGAAACTGCGTGTTGTGTGGACAATAAGCTCATTGATAGCTGCCTCTGCTAGGCACTACCTACTGCAGCCAATAATAGCAGAGCACAAGACGTTGGAGGCCTTGATTTTGACTGATGCTGATGGACAAGGGGTGTTATCTATGAATAAAGAGCAGTTGGAAGAACTGAGGGTGAAACCTCTATCTGCCTCGTCGGCTTCCAAGAGGACTCTGGTGCCGGCTTTGAGTATGCGGTTATGGTATGCGGCGCATTTGGAGTTGCCCAATGGGACTGTGTTGAAAGGGGCGACCTTGGTGGCTATCAGACCAAGTGAGCAGCCCAAGAAGGAGGTTTTGGGATCCGAAGCCAATTGGGTTGCCTCGGCGTTTGAGGAGCCATTTGGAACTGCTGCAAAGATGCTGGTGAAAAGGAGGACTTACTGTCTGGAAATGAACTCATTTTGAGTGGGATTCCATGAACACGTGTTTGAGGGTAAGTCTTCTTTTGCAGATTTATTGGAAATTTTGAATTGGTTCAGAGATCTCTATGTTTGTAGGCATGTGTTCTGTATTTATTAATCGCAATTTTTGCATCTGAGTATTAGTTCTATGATCTGTGCATTCATTATATGCTAGGATGTTTATATGTGATTCTTAGGCTAGTTTCCCTTCTGAAGTGCTACCGCTCTGCATTGCTTATATTGTTATCTGTGACCTATATCTTACAATTATATATAATATATTCATGCATTTATTAGTTTCGGTGGGTAACCAGCATAATGTGTTTATATATATATATAAACAATGATGGTATAGTTTACCACTTACCAGAGATTATTTTTATCTAATCTTATACTTTTAGGTATAGGTCAGTAATACAGAGAATAATGTGTCTCAAGTATGCTGAGCGACTTTTCTTTATTATTTTATCTACTTTTCTCGCTTAATAGAATTTGAAATGCGTTTTCATATATCTTGAACTATAGGTATAGTCTTCTGCATTTTCTATATGCATGGTAGTCTTGACACTGCTCTGCATTTGTATGACATATTATTTTGTTACACGTGCACTTATTTTATTATTGTTTCTTCTTTCTTTTATTGATTCGAATGGTTCACTTACTCCCCTTGAATTCATTTTTGGTGTTAATGGATCTTTCAGGGTTAACACAGATTTCCTAGGAGGAGGAGGATTCACATGCAGGGAAAACACAATTTTGTCTTGACCACAATGTACCATGGACAAATAGCTAGTCTAGCGTATCTTGGTTCTAGTATGACGAAAAACCAGCAGGTGATTGATAATGAGCTGTGGAACAATCCTCCTGCAGTCGAGCTGATGCTTGATAGGCATTTGCTTTTATATTAAAATTCCAGGCATGTGCTTTCGCCGGCGCACAAAATTCTTATGGATTGATGTTGAGCTTTGTGCCTTTGACTTTGTACTCTTCTACTTTTACTAATTTTCTACATCTGTGAATAATGTATGCTTATGCAATGTTCCATTAAAGGTTCATTGAGCAATGTATCTTTCAATAATCTGTATATTCGTAGCTGCTGAATTATTGATAGCAGATATGAGAAATAAACAAATTGACGTACTGCATTGCCTAATTGAAGACATTTTACTAAATGCAATTCAGATTGGGGTGTTTGACACCCATTTTGGTAAAAAAATGTGTTTTTGAATAGTGATTGATGAAAGAATGTGTGGTTTAAAAGTAAGGAGAATTTTTAGGTTTATGTGTAATATTATTTTATTGATAGAATGTGTGGTTGAAATGAAGAGAGAAAAAGAATGAGAATGAGAAAAAAATGGGTGCCAAACATCTCATTTCTAAGCACGTCATTTTACCAGCATTCATAGTTTATGAAATGTTCGTCGTCCTCTAATTTGTGTGGATGTGTAGAGTTTGAGACTTGTTCAGATGCTTGAAGCAGAACAATGCCTGTGACCCAAGTTTTTTGGACCGAGTTATATTTTTCTTAATGTTAAATAAGCATTCAGGTACCGTTAGAAATTATCGGTGTTCTAAAAAGCGTAAAGCATGACTAGGCATGGTGAAAGCCAGCCTAGGCGAAGTTTAGGCGTAAAAAGGCGTTTTTTATTTTAAATTTTTAATCATTGTAAAAAAATTCAACAATTCAAATAATACATACAAAACATCTAAAATTATAAAATATTGTATTTACTTAATAATTTCTAAATAAACATAAGTTTCAAAATCATAATTACACAACGTAGATAACTTGTAGCTTAAATCTTATCTAATTTAACTTTTTATCGGACTTCAATTCAATATCTTCTTCATCTAATTCGTCCTCCATATCGTTCAATACAAAATCATCATTCTCGGGCTTCTAATGTCATACATACCTGATACCCAAATAAGTGCGGTGTGAGGGGAAATTGAGAGGTTTTGCGTCGTTCTTCCTTTTTTTTCCCGTTCTTCCGTCTTCTCAATTCTCTGGAGTTTGGAGTTTTTGAAGTTTGAATGGATAGTGAATTACTGAGTCTGGGCTGTGGTTTTTAGCAAAGACAGAGTGGATTGACCAAGTGATGACAGATGAGGTGATTGTAATTGTCTTTCAAGAACATGTTGATAATTTTAGAAATTTGTTGGACTTGAGGTGAGGATATGGTGAATATGTTTGGTACTGAACTTTGATGCTCAAAGATTATATGCAGGCGGCAACGCAGAAATAATGGGCAAAATTTTTGTACTTGCGGAGTCATGGATTAGAAACGATTTTATTTTTTTCATTTCTCGATCAGGACATTTCTCGATCACGAAATTTCTCGATCGTGATCGAGAAATGTCCTGATCGATCACATCCATTGTGCAGTAAATTCAAGAATGAATAAATGCTCCTTTTAGTTACAGTGATCTCTAGTTCCAATTAGATCCATTTGACAGTGTTTATTGAGTAGGTGCATTTAGATCCATTTCCATTTGACAGTGTTTCTGCCTTTACTTTTGTTTTTATTTGTAGAATGGATTTTCGAGTAAGTTGTCTTGGACCAAATTTCTCCAAAAGCACAGCACTTTCAAATAATTATTGGAACGGGTTCAGAAGCTAATTTTTAGATTTAGGAGCAGTTTTTGACTTCTTAAAAATCCCGTCAAATGGGTCCTTCGTACTCCATGTTATCAATTTATAATTTCTTTCATATTTAGCCCATTTTTGATGATCATTATTTTGAAAAAAATAGAGTTTCAAATAATATTTTTTTGAAGAATGTGTAATTAAAAAGTGAAAAATGTTTCGAATTTACTTGCAAAATATCTTATTGTATAAATGAGTGATTAAAAAAAAGTATACAAACTAAAAAAATTTGAAATAATGATTGTTAAACAAGAACTCGAGTATTAAAATATAAATCTTCTTTGATAATAAGTTTTCAATTGTGGATGAGCTTATCTAATATTTAAGGAAATTGCTATTTGTACACGAGGTACTCCCCCTTCACAATAGGGCATAGGGGATCTGCGATTATTTTTATTTTTTTTTGTTTGAGCTCATGAACCCAATTGACTGTGGAAGTACTGCAGCTTCAACAATTTCAAAACAGAATCAGAATCATTCAACTACAGATAATAAGACACACACTACCTACCTGGCACCCATAACAATTAGCAAACATAAGAGAACGACATCAGTAACCCGATGGCCTGAGATAGGGAAAGTACGCTTTGCTCAGGACTTGTGGCAAGAAATTTTCCGTTAACCCACTCCAATATATTGTCGAGTCGTACCCTGAAGAATATGGAACTTCTCTCAACTTCAGTTACCTGCATTAAAGAAATGTTCATATCTTGCCTTGTAAGCTGTCCTATAAAAGTAAAAATGTCTAAATCAGTTCAAAAAAGAAATCGAAAATTTTGTTCTAATCCTCCAACAAAAGGTAACAGGAAAGTAAAATCAGAACTCAGGTAAAACCAACAAAATCACTTCGTGAAAAATTCTCTTTATCTTGTAGTTTTAAACGCTAAAGCATTCCTAGCAACATAGTCTCTACCTACCTCTATTGGTCCATTCATGGAACATCCTTTGACAAGTACAAATAGAGCCTCGTAAAAGTCAATTAAGTGATGCTCAAGTTACTTGCACTTGAATAGATATGTACAGTTGCTCACTACAACTAACCTTTAATCTAAATTCAAATTGAAACTCCACTTATCTATCTAGTTGATGAATTCTGCCTAAAAATTGAAATCAATTAGGATAGTTCTTCAACAACTTCATCTAAAAACATGCTGAAAATGGAAAGCAATTATTAAATTTAGTCTTTTTTTCCTTTCATTTGTTTTGCTATATTTACCTAGTCGTTTCATGGAACATATTTAATTAAGCTCCTAAGTAAGGCTTTAGTATTTTGTCCCTCGTACTTTTTTTGCTCTAATCACCAATGGATTTAAGAATCATACTTGAGATAAGGTTCGTTGGTAAACTTTTTTATGTTTTACAATAAGACTATAATGGAATAAATCGTAAGTCAAAATTCTAAAAGGATTATGCGACTTGTCATAAAAATGGTACATAAAGGATTACATAAAATGATGTGGAGGAAAAATATGAGATGAAAAAATTAATTGTGTTTTAAACTGATAAAGGATAAAGTGACATGTGCCATTATGTAATCCACTATATAAAGATTGATGTACATGATAGGACTGGGCAAAATGTCCGAACTGGAACCGAACGGTTTTTCATAAATGAAATACCCGAACGGGTATTCGAATCGAGAACCGAATGGCTGGGTTCGATTCTCGATTCTAGACCAAGAACCAAAGAATCGAATAAGAACCGATTTTTCTTTTTATATTGGTTAAATCAATTTTTTTTATTTTTTCTAAACAAATTAATAATTTTTTTCTTATTAAATCTTATAGTTGAACAATTTAGAGTTTATTTATGTTTGTTAATTGTGTTTTTTTCAATTTTTTCTTGTATAATTTCTTATTAATTCGTATGGAAAGTCAAGCAACTGATGATTACATTAAATAATTGGTAAGTATTATCAATACTTTAAAATATTTTATCTCTATGACTTCTAATTTATATTTTATGTAGACTTGAAGGTTTGAAGCGAATGAATTATTGATATGAATCATCGAAATTTTACTAGTAATATTTACTTTTTGGTATTTGTATTTGACAACTTATTATTTATATGTTATTAAATNTATTTGACAACTTATTATTTATATTTTATTAAATTAGATTACGTTAATTTGTAAAAATTAAGACTGATCTTAGTATTTGTATTTACTTTTTGTTATTAATATTAGTATATAGTATATACTTTCAGATGTATTTATGAAATATTATTCTAAATGTTAAAAAATTCAATTATAGTACGAAACTGAACAGAACCGAATCGAACCCGAACGATTCCAAAATTATATTTGAAACCGACAATTCAACTTACTAAATACCCGAAAATTTCCGGAACCGAACAAAACCGAACTGAACCGACCCACGTCCACCCCTAGTACATGTAGTAAGGTCCATTCTAAAATGGCATTCTGAATATCAATAATCGAGGTTATGTTACAATGGAATTTACAGAGAATCAATTACTAGAAATAGTGATCTATTTTAGGTTTTTTTACGTTAACCAAGGAAAACTGGAAGAGGATATCATACCTAGCATTATAACGAAATATGTCCCTATTTGGCAACCATCATTTCAAAACTCTTTATCTACATACACAATTTCAAATACACATTCACACAATAAAATATTCTGCAGTAAATCCAAACTTTTCTTTACTTTTTAACCACACATTCTCTAAAAATTCACTATTCAAAACTTTATTTTTGCAAAATAATGACCTATCGAACAGGGGCTATATAGTGCGAGCATGGTGTTTGCAAATGATTTGATGCCATTTGATCTTTTTATACAGTTAGAAAGTTCCAAGTAATATGAATAAGACTCAATTATCTATGCAAACCGAACTTCAAATCCACAGACAGAACGCTTTCCATGTTAGATCTAGACAAAACAAATTGATGATTCTTGTGCCTACCCCGCGGACAAGTGAAACAAGTCATCATTCAAATTAAGTTTATGCTTTATTCTCAAAATTACGACTGCCTCTTTAACATTGTATACGGTGGTTGAAGTTTTACAAGTCATAGAATATTTTGAACACAGCTAACAAAGCTTTATTTTGACATGATAGTTCTATTTTTATCTTCAAACAAGTGTAGCAACTTCACATTCTCTTCTTCTCTGCACTAGAGTATTATACATCTTCTCTCCTCCTCTCTTTCGAAGATTTTATCTTTGAGGTTTGCATCTTACCCAATACTATAAACATTCATCCATTTAGGAGCAGGTTTGGCTGTGTTTATAATCTTTTAGAAAAGTGAGTTTACGAGGAGAAAAAATGAATTTGAAATCATATTGAACAAAATAAGTAACTTAATAATAAATTTATCACTTCTAAGGAGTCGAACGTTCTCGTCTTATTATTTTTATCCTAGTGATTTATACCGCGCTTCATATAAATATATTTACAATAGATTTATTTGCTTTATCTTCACACATACTTTCTGGGAACTTTTAGCATTTCTCATTTTTACTATTTGTTTAGATCTTATTTCAAATTACTATTTTTAAGATTTATCAACTATGAATAAAGAGAGTTGGATTTTTGTTTGTAAACTTGAATAATTTTTCCCTTAAAACATTAGAAGAGATATGTAATTTATTTAATTAGATTCTCATATTCACTTGGGCAATATTCATTTTTTCTCCTCATATTCAGTTTTTCTTTTCGTTTTTTCTACTTCAAATGATTCATGTATGCAAAATAAGTATAAAATCATTACAAATAATTAATTTACATTCCAATTTAATTCAAAATTTTCAGTTTTGATGTGATTATGGTACGTACCAAAAATGCATCAAGTACATTTTAGACAATTCATAATAATATTCACTTCCTATTGGAACCTTCATTTTATTCTTGAAGTATATCAAGAAAATAATAAATTCCTCTATCATCCAGTTTAGATAGAGTCCAACAACTAGGGACAAAAGGGTCTTTAGTTTTAAACCTAATACTCTCAAAATCTAGACAGCAAGAAGTTCTGCTGCCAAGTGTTGAGCTCCAGCAACGGATGGGGGCAGACAGAACCTAAGGAGACAAGGTATTTCTCGGATTATATAAGAAAAAAAGCCCCTTTTTTAGGTTTCCTGTAAATCTCACATGGTACCCAGTTTTAGGTCTCAATCAAATGTTAAAAGATTGCTTCTTTAGCCCAGAGATTAACACCTGGCCTAAGCCATAGACATGTTATTAAGAAGGGAACCAAACCAGACAGACAACCAGCCGTTAGCCGTTTCACAATCGCAGGTATCAATGCAGGTGCAATAAAAGACAAGGGAAAAAGGCTTATAAAATATATGCCCAATGGTCATGCTTATTTGTGAAAACCAAGAACTCGAGGACTGTTCATAGTATCAATGCACCTAAATCGAAATGGCACTACGAAAACTTAAGCAAAAATCCCTCAAAAATAATTTATGGAGCTAAAAGATATTTAATTACCTGAACTGAAGATGGGATGGAGGAAAAGGATGTTAAATGAACTCAGTTCTTTCTTTTTCCCTTCTGGGAAAGCTTGCCAGTGCCACCATCACCATAGGAAATATGCAGTCGGGCGTCGAATCCAGACAGGAACTGGTGGTGGTTCTCCACCGGTGCGGCGGTTGTGCCAATATAGAAATTTGGAGATCCATCGATGGGAGGAAACCTCTGGAGGTGAGGCAAAAGTGACGGCGAGGAAGAATTGGACTGAAGGGTCCCCCTGTTGAAGCCAGCAAGGCTTGAAGAAGCAGCTGAAGATGAAATTGTGAAGTTCAGATTGTACTCGTCAGCACCATTGTGATTATTGTTGTTGTTGTTGTGTGCAGTGACAGCTGAAACAAAATGTTCCGGGACAAACGAGATATGCTGGAGCTCCGGCTCATGGTCCTCCGATACGCTAAACAGCGGGGAACAAACCCGCTGCGATAGAGGATCTCCTAAGTGAATTTGCCCCGGACGAGTTGCCATTGGCCCTAAAAGTCCACTGGTAAAGTAATCCATTGGCGTTGATGACCATTGCCTAGGTGATTTCTGGAAAAAATTCGACTCATTTGAAGTAGTATTTTGGTGAACTGAGGCACTAAGATTGGTGGTGTTATTGACATTATTCATGCCAACACTGAGGAGTTCAGTGAAAGAAGTGGTATGGGAAAGAGGGTTCAAATGTTCAACACGAGGAGACTCGTTCTCCTTCTCTTTCTCTGCAACTCTTTCCTTTGCACGCTCCCGGGCTTTGATCCGGTTTTCAGATCTGGAAAGGGTTAGCCCGGCAACCTTGCCGGAGCCATATTGGGATAACATCGACGCCATCTCTTGAGGATTACCGCTGCCGCCGCCATCCATGTCTACTTCATCTGAATCAAAACCATGTTGATCATTACCACCGGAGCTAGACCTCTTCTCGTCGCTCGGCTGCTTAGGAGTATCCGGAAATGTAGTACTAATGGAAGGGAGCTTCTCAATAGAGCTGGAAGCAGCCATCAGCAGCCACTCCACCGCCTTGCTCGGCTGATCGTAGCCAAGGCGGTCCTGCAAATCGTAGAATTGAATCGCCGTGTTCACAGAGAGCCTCACGCGCCGGTCTCTTAGCCCCTTTGAGGTGAGAACTTTGCTGTGCCTATCTTTTCCGCCAGATGCTCTCGAAACCCGAACTATCCGGGATGAAGGCCAGCCATTAAACCTACCAAGACCACAACCAAGATCGATACCGCCACCAAATCCGACACCGCCGTTAGCCCTGCCCCTTCTTGGCTCACCATCTTCTTCATCAGGGTACTGCAAATCATCTCCTTTCTGCCCTATTTTGCTTGACTCAATCCTTTCATTTCCATTGCTGATTCTTGGATACTTACACCCATGATTTTGAATGTCATCCGCCTCCATACCACCACTTTCATACCTTTTCACAAACCCCTTTAAGCTCTTTTCTTCCTTATCGCCCCAAAAAGTGTTTATAGAGAGAGTAAAAGAGAGTTCCAAAATTTAAATGGAATCTAAATTTCTAGAACTAGGGTTTTCCAAGAAAAAACTGTGGGTGAGCAGTTGAGTAGTGGGTGTGGGATAAGATGGTGTTCATTGCATTGTTGACGACACAGAAAACTTTAGCTTTTCTATAGTGACATATACATACAACAGAGATATATATATAGAGAGAGAGAGAGAGGGAAGGGCTTTTTCTTCTTCTGCTCGATATTATCACGTTCTGTAACAGAGAGGGATTCAGAAGAAGAGAGAGGGGAGGCTTCGTACGAAGCTTTTTACAGTGCTTTCAAAAGCAAACCAAAGCCTGTGTACTTGCTCAGAACTCTATTATCTCACTCCTGGAAAGAGAAAAAATAATAAAACATTAAAAATCATAACCACATAAAAATCAACCCAACAAAACAAACAAAAAATGAGGCATCAGATGCTGTTAAAAAGAGGAAAAATCATATGGAACTGCTTTTTAGCTTCATCGGATGAAATGAAAACCCTTCTACATGCTAACATATTGATTTATTTGAGAAGATCTAATTGTTTTAGTCTTCGAGTAGAACTAGCAATAAGAATTAACAAAAAGACTTCAAATTTACCGAGAACTAGGACTGTTTTTTGTTGTTGAAGAAGCTAATGAATGAAAGGTCTAATCTTAGGGAGACTGTCACTGATTCAGTAAACTGCATACCCCAATAGCAACAGAAAGATCAAATCTTACATTTTAATTAATTTAATCTGTATTTGTATACTGTACCATAGTTCTTTCTTGAAAGACAGATGCAAAAAAACGACAAAGTACAAATCCGGAAGTGTTGGATGGATCTGTGACAAACAAAATACTCTGGAGAACCTTTGAGCTGTACACAGTTCAGCTCCTGCAGATCATATAGAAACAACACCCAGAAAGTCAAGGACCCGTAATCTTTGAACCGTATTTAGATACTCTCAATCTCGACCCGTACATGGATTAAAAAGGACGAGGAAGAAGAGGAGATTATATGCAGGAAATGCAGACTTCGAAGTTTGTCAATAGGTTTACCCGAATTTCCAGCAGACTTGCTTCCTTATCTCCCTACTTTCCAAACTCCAAAGCAACTGAAAATAGAGTTGTTCCTCATGCCAGTCCTATCTTTTGCTTTTCTTGCTAGACCTACGTACAAACCAAACTCCGGAGCAAAAAGAAAAGGACCACAAACTTTACCTGAATTTTTAGATGGAAAAAAAATGCAAGTGAGTTGAGATTAGGGTTCTTTATATTCATTTTCTTCTAATTCAGATTTCTGCAGAATTGAATATTTTTTATTATAGACGGGTTTGAAGGGACGGGTTAGTTACATCGGCGCTTATCGCCTGGCTTGGAAAGGACAGCACAGCGCCGTTCCTTCCTCACCCCTTTTGTACACTCCCAACTTTCTCTAGTTTGCTATAGAATCGTGAATCGGATCATGACCTAACCAGCTAAGTTGAAACTAGTCAGCGCCTGTTTGAACCTAATTTTTTTGACTATTTTAGAATAGTAATTTAACGACGAATATATTGTTAAAAAATAAGATTTTTCAAAAATTTACTTGTAATATTATTTTATTAAAAAATATGTGATTAAAAATAAGAGAAAGAATAATGTATTTTGAAAATAATAAAAACTTTGGTTTGATTTGATTTTGATTTAGTTGAACGATCTGCCCTTATTTTTACTTATTTTGTCAAACATAAAATTAAAAAATCTACTTTTTTAAAAAAGTGAATTTTAATTTACTTTTCTATAAAGGTTAACTAAACAGGCTCCCATTGTGAAAATATCTTTCTATATATAAAAAGTGTCTATTTAACGGAATTTGTTGGTTTAATGGAAAAACTAACGGAATTTGTTGTTTTAACGGATTATGTAACGGAATTTCTTATTTTAAACAGGCAGCTGCATCTTCTTTCAGTGTTTTTATCATAACTTTGTATT